AATGCTGCTTTATGCTGATACATTGCTAATTTCAGTCCAGGAAACAATTATCAGGTTATCCAACGTGTTTTCTCCTCTTTTTAAGTTAAGTTTTTATATCGCTAAAACACTCGAAATAGTGGAAGATACAGCTGGTGATGCTGAATTGACAGCTACCTTAATCGCAATCCATCACTATTCTTTCTTATGTTTTACATTCATTTTTAGACATACATTATGCAAGAGGTAAATCTGCCTGGTGCAGGTCTTTTTTTAGGTCTGAAATGTTATGTAAACTATTAATTAGACATATATTAACATGAAAAGACCACAATTAACTCTCGATGCCATCTTATCTGTCCGACTTTCAATGGATTTAAATCCGATCTGCTGTTCAACGTCCGTTGATGATTAAACGCAAAAATGGATAATGGAGACATTGTTACTTATCGTGACAGCGCTACAGTGACAATCGACATTACGAAGATTTTAAAATAAGGTTTTCTCGACGTAGAGTGAAGCAATTTGACTAAAATATTCAGCATATTCCCTTTACATCATCTAGTTTTTAACTATGATAGTGAGAACTATAGTGAGAGCTCTTTATCTGATCTGCCATAATGTATCTGTAATAGAATCATAGTTTTGACAGACAGAACCCATTGGGCAGTCGGTTACTCCGGACCAAAAGGACACGGCCAGTATACAAATGTATACCCCAAAAATATATATATACCTTACTCATAGTATAAGAGCTATGCGTATATTATTCATCAGTGAAGTTTTTACAAACGTCATCACTTACTATTGGCACGAGTGAAGTTAGTAACTTCATGAATGATTTATAATAGGTAATTTCATCGGGGCTCAAGAAAATAGAATAGACATAGTAGTGATAAAATAGCCATTAAAGAGCGGACTCAAACTAATAATATAAATAACACACACATTTATATCCACCGTTACAAATAGACAGAAGATATAAATGCATTCCGGCTTTGATCCGGCTTACTTTCGTTTGTAGCAGTTTGCCGTCCATGTTTGAACTTGCTTTATATAATATCTATAGGCGTACGGGACTATTTGGAGGTGGGGTGGGATAGGTTGGCGAGGAGCACATTTACAACTGCCAAATTTCTCTATTTTGAAGGACGAAGGGTGTGTATTATAACGCAAATTTTAATGAACTAAATACAGAACCAAGATGTCATCGTTAAAAACTGTAGCCTAGGCATCATTTGATGATTTTGTCATATTATGTAGCCTATTGTCGACATAGGCGTCATTTGATGATTTTGTCATATGTGGTGACTTTCAGTCTCATTCGACTATTTATATTAATCTCCACTAGAACCGATCTAGTCTGAGGTCGAGTTGTGGCAGTTGTCGTTAAATGCTTTTTTCGCTCCAATTTCATGCACTTTTCACACATCGCAAATACATGTGGCCATGGGTCTTTATGATTTATCATACCGAAAGAAAAAGGAAATATTTTCACTACAAGGAATGTAAGAAATGTGGTCACTTATACTTTAGATATATATTTGTATGAAAGCGAGCATGACAAAGATATGTCAACATAGTTGTCTAATTTTATCCAAAGCACTGACAAAAAGCGAACTGTGTGAAGATAAATTAATGTAGGTAGCTACATTAAAGAGGCATTTGTTGTGTTCGTATTAGAATTAAAGACGCTTAAGATCATTTTCATTTCTGGGAAAATATCTAATTGTTCATGGCTTAACAATCAACGGCTTTAATGATTGTTCTGGTTAGTTATAGTAATGATAGGTGTGGTGTAGGGTATACTTAATGTTTTAATGAACACCTAACACCACTTCTCTATGAAAGCGTTCTTATTTAATTAATAATAATTTGTACTAGCTTTCTGTTAAATTACTGAAATATATGTTTCCTCCGGTATGGGCATACTCCACGCAGTGTTTCGTTTGATTAGAGCTAATCCAACTTAAAACTGATTGAACGGGAAGAATAGACACACTCCCTCAAAAGCTTAAGTATCAGAAGCCAATCCAGCAATGGCCAGATGGATTTCTCGGGCCAATTAATTTAGGAATATGCGTTATGGGTGGATTATTTATCTGTTCGACCCTTAATAAAGTGTGTATATTCATTTTCTTTTAAAGTTCTTTAAAAGTTATGATTTAAATCTTGGTTCTTTTAGTGAATGGGAACAATAAAATAATGGCCTCAAAAATTTGAATAATCTCATGCATTTTATTTAGCTTATCTGAAGTCATACAAGGAATTTATTGCATCATGTTGAGTCATTTTATAATGAGGGATTTAGATTGGGAATTCCGATAGCCGTATAAAGTTTTACTCCAACATGTACATTTAAGAGAACCGAGGTGTCTCGTTCGGGTTGGACGAAAACTGTGGTCCCTTGTACACTTTGTTATGTACGTAAAAGAACCCTTGACAGTTGGAATTGGATATAAGAATATGCCGCTGTCCTGGCAAAATTTCATTAGCCCATTTCATTTCATACATTTAAGATGTATCTTTTTCGTTATTTTAAATCATTAAGCTCACTATGAACTGTTTACATTGTGCAGTATCGGCCAATGACTTCCATATAGTGCACGTGTACTCATATACTCAAGTAAACAAACATGATTTAATGTTATTTATGTGCATAATAAACCATAAATACGCCGTTATCTTCTAGTACAAGTTGTTAAGAAGGGTCTAACATCTGTGTGTTTTAAACAGTGAAAGTCACTATATTTTGACATACCTTATAAACGCGAAATGTGAAACTACCGAACCGTGCGGTCGTGTTGCCATAAATAGACATTTTACACAGTTGTGATGAATATTGCATTTCATCATCGTCCCTCAGTTATTAACTCATCTTGACAGATTTATATGTATTGTAATGTTTAGTTACAGAGATAAATGATTTTTATAGCATATAATATTTCCACATCTGTGGTGTTTACGTATCGCTGCCCCATTTTTTTTCTTAAGTTTAGCTTTGTTGTGTATAATATTAAAAAAAAATTATGTTGTTCTTTAAGATGACATTGTTTATGACCTCGGTTGTCAAATTACGGACGTAATGTTTAGAGCTATGCTTACACACGAATCCGCATGCTCATTTCGTGTGCAAATTAAATAATCTTCGCCTTATCCACAATACTTTTAGACGGTAGTAGTTTAATTTGACCAAAAGAGGGAGGGGGGGGGGGGTAACGTCAACTCGACAAAAGTTATATCATTTAGGGACTAACATATGGCTTAATTTATTTCAATAATTCGTTTGGGGGGCTTTAGGAGGACCCGGAGAAAAAACCCCGAGGTTTAATAGGCGACCCTACTCCTTTTCATGTACAAGCTAGGGATCGGACTCAATGCGAAAGCTTATGATCTAAACTGCATGCGTTAAACCATTTTCCCCGCTCCCTTCAAACTATGAAATCGGGTACGATATCAAATGACATATCACTGGGGTCATGTAGATCATCATTAAGATCTAAAGTGCCCCCCCCCCCCACACACACACACACTAACTCATCCGTACTATTAAATCGGGTGCGATTTTAAATGACACGTCACTGGGGCCATGTAGATCATCATTATTGCGGAGATTAACCATGGAATGTAGTTCGACGTGCGTATCATTTTTAAAGCTATATGCCTTCGCGTAAAATTAGGTCACCTGTTCGACCCTCAAAACGTATCTTTATCTACATTGTAGATGTACGATGTTTCTAATGGCAACTAAAAATGAAATAATAGACGCAAATATCCTAGTAATTCAAAGTAAATGAAACAATTTTATTATTACAGAGCGTCGGTAGATTATATATTATTATGTGTATTGCTATTACTCACACGTTGGTGGGTACTGCATTTATTCATTTTATTGCAAAAGTTGTATATAGTAACAAGTACGATATGGACCAGTAACCGAGCATGACGCCATCGCCACCATCCAGGAAATGTGAAGTCAAATCACAAATTAATACCTGTCATATATCGAAAAAAAATTAAAAAAATATAAAAAATACCGAAGAAAAATCCGAAACATATCGAAAAAAAAAATCCACCGAAAAATATTGAAAAATCACTTAAAAATACCGAAAAAGATTTTTGATACTAATTTCCGAAAAAAACCTAAATACCGAAAAATCACTAAATACCAGAAAACAAAACTAATTAGCAAAGAAAAAAAAATCTAGGCCACACATAAAATAAATGTTAGGTGGGTCAGGCTAGGCCACCAATAAAAATTGTAGCGAACTCTAGGTCTTATGGAGTGTTTGTGTCTCAGCTAATTGGTTACGCGAGAGCTTGTTCCTTTTATTCTGATTTTTAAAGTAGATCGAGGCATTTGACATCTAAGCTTCAACTACAAGGATACTTGCGCACTAAACTTATTAAAACCTTTAAAAAGTTTTATGGCCGTCATATTGATTTGATTGATAAATATAACGTGTCTCTCTCGGCTATTATTCTAGATATATTTAATTGACACGTATAGATTCATTATATCATTAGCTTGACTAAGGTCGATGGTCAGAATTTTCTGCTTAGACTAAGGAGCGATAAACAATTTGATTGGTCAAGATTTTGGAACCTAACAACTCTGCTTTTAATTAAGACAGAATGTTTAAACTTGATGTAGATGTTCATTAGGTGAATGTCTTGACTGAGTTCAATGATTAACATTTCGAGCTAAAAAATTTCATTGGTCGATGCTTTGGGACAAGATAACTTTGATTCTATCTGGAGAGTGATGAAACGTAGTGTATAGTTGATAATCAGTTTGATTGCTTGATACTTTTGAAAAAAAATAAATGTGCGATTAATTAATATGTGTCATCTATTTATTTTGGGATTTCGGCTCTGGACATCAGCCTCACTCTTGGCTTGTTTTCCTATATGTTGTCGTCCCTTGCCCCCCCCCCCCGCCCGCCCCTCTGTTTTGCAAATTTATGTAGCATATTGTCGACATAAGTGTTGACATGTAATTGGATTGTTATAACTTCCAGTGTGGAGAATTTCAAGTTGCTGAACAAGAGAGACTCCTGTTCGAAGTCTTCAAAGAATGTTTAAAGAAGAGAAAGGAAGATCCAGTGGTTTTAACAGGTATTCCACCATTTATACTTGTTTTAAAACAATGTTAACCGAACATGTTCTTCTCAGGATTGAACTTCTGTTAACCAGACCATGGATATATAGTCAAAGCGACACGAGTTTCGGTTTATAAAATGGTAATCTTGTTTTAATGTGTAATATTGATTCCTCGTTAGTATCGAGTGACATTGAACAGGATCGCCTTCCTATTATCGTGGGTTTTCCCTGGGTCCTCCAATTTCATCCAATTGTACTATATTAAGTTAGTCTCTAGACTTCTCTCAATTCCCTATTACGGATCTCTACTGTAGTTACAATAAATGGTCTCCTGTATTTGCGTCACATCCGGAACTTGACTGTTTACGTTACAGATCAACCATAGCATAGCTCTTTACATTTAGAATCTGATTAAGCTATTTTACATTCAATCGTTTTCTTTTTTGCTCTAATTTCTTATCAGTTATGTTCGACGAAATACTCGAAGAATTCAAATCGAATGGCAGTCTTTGGCATCTGGTTATTCCAGTCGCCACGTATAGTATTCTCCTATGGGGTATATTTATCCTCGTTCATCGAGTTGCTTCATTACAAATGGCACCCGAAAGCATTCTGGCACGCGCCTCGTGTGCCAATATTAAAATTTTCATTTTCTCTTAAATACATTTTCACGGTAAGATAACAACATCAATGTTAATTTAAATTGACCAATAAGTGGCGTTTGCAATGTCGCAGAGTGTGGATGATATTGAGGTACCGACTTGTCTCCATTAAGGCGATTGCTTTCGAGTAGAAAATGGCTTCAATAATCTCGAGGAAATAATATTTATAAATGCCATGTTTTCAAACATTTTTTTTGTTTTAAGGTGATTTCTGGACTTTCGACGTGTATATTTTCAGAATATATAAAAACAATACATTTGTAAATCTGCGTCATTTTTAACGTATGTTTGTGGTGTTTTATGAATACATCAACCCATTTTGCGCGACATTTAATTGTTGTTTTTTTTTCAGTTTACATATTTGAAACTAAAAATAACTCAAATATATTATCTTGTTTCCAGAATTAGTTTAATTGCCCTATTAGCTCGTGTTGCTATTCTTTTTTGACATAATTATTACGCATATTTAGAATTTCAAAATATTACCATATTCTGATGTTTAAAAATATTTTTAAAAGATTAAATTTAGTGCTTTTCTAAGTCGAGCGTAAAGATAAGAGAACGACAAAGTCATGCGGCGAGGTTACGCTTGAGCAGATGCGCACTAGTAATTCTCTCCACGTTGACTGTTTTTACAAATCCATATGTATTGGAATATAACACTTTTTTAACCTTCCTGTATATACCACAAATTTGAATAGCTCAACATCTCACGGTTCTTCTCTGTACCTTGTCAAATGAATCTTTTGCGTGCGACGTCATCCCTAATTCTTGTTCACTCCTTTATCCCTCCGAATGAAAACCATGAATAATCACCGATAATACATGCCTATTCTTGTTTGGCTTTGTAGATCTTGCCGTTATGGTTTCCTCAAAGCAGTCTTCGGGGATGGTATTTTATTACGATATCTTTACGAAGTTTGAAGATGTGAACAAAAGGAATTACTTTGAGAGCAATTTAGCGTTAAAATGTTATTCTCAAGTTAATACTATTCTCTTTATAGGCGTATTCTGTAACCGGACATTTGATAACATTTTGTGTTGGGATGATGCACCGGCAGGAAAAACTGTTAAACAACACTGCCCACCATACATAAATGGATTTAACAAAGCAGGTACAATTGTCTTTGATATACAACTAAATTTCACACTTAGAACGGAAATCGATTCGAATAAAGTAGGTTCGATTTATCTGTATGATTAATAGTGGGTACGTATATGATTAATAATCATTTGCTAGTGCCAGGTCATATCCGGTTCTCTACAGAAGTTTGTTTATGGCCAGGTGGGCGGGTTATAGTCCAACGTATAATAATTTATGCTCGCTGACCAGGCGGCCTCGGGTTCGCTTCCCGTATTGACCGAGAAAGTTGGAATTTTACAGCGTGAATTCCCCTCGTCAGTGATGCAAGGAAGGAAAGGCGTCAAGTCAATCATCAAGTCAATCATGGTCCCGTGGGAACAATGGAGTAGACGTAAAAGAGCACTTGACGGGAATCAAAAATATGCTGTAGCACCGCTGTCCGGGGATAATTTCCCTAATAGCATACAGCATGGCTTATGCCCTTCTTCATTATAGCCCAGTCGGTGCAAAACAGTAGGCTGTTAAATTCCATTTCATTTATCCCACAGAGTATGCCACCAGGACGTGTATGGACGATGGTACCTGGTACATCAACCCATCTCTTAATAAAAGTTGGACAAACTTTTCCAGATGTGGCATGGAAGATGAAAAATTATCGCCACTTATTAAGGTATATGCAATTAAATTTCAATTGGAAGACCGACGTTATGGCCACTGAGGATTTGGTCACAGAGGTTAAGGCTATACGAGCTTAAATAGTTGCTAACTGGTGCTCATAGGAGTTGACTGATTAGATTTAAGAATTTAGGCGAGAGGTCAAGTCTCCACATAAGCACTGGCCTAGGGTAGAAAATATATGCGGTCGAACCGTTGCTGTCTGAAACGTGGTAAATTGAATTCAATTAAAGTTTTTACAGGTCTTGAGCGTGTATGTTAAAGACGGACATAAGAGTAATACAAACGATGTTATTTGAGCCTAAGAACCACCCTCAAAATATAACCAGCATTCACACAGAATTAGTCCTTGCCAGAAGTCACACATCAAAATTTCGATTTTGAAAAATTAGGTGCTAAATTGAAAATGTTTATCTTCCACCTCAAACCCCCCAACATAAGTGTTTTAATCCTTCAATCTGCGAAACGGTTCTTTTGTGTGCGATGGATGTATATTGCTTAATATTTTGCTATTTTGATGGAATGACCAGGAATGTGATAGGAAAGTTGATGATAATATAATTATCTTTTCTTTTTCAGGAGCACATGCCCAGAGTAAAACAACTTTTTACTGTTGGATATTCGTTTTCGTTAGCTGCACTTGTATTGGCTATTTTTATAATGCTGTATTTTAGGTAAAGTTTGATGATTTGTTACCAAGGGCGCTGTTATACATCGCAAAACTAGTAACATTTGAGAACATATCAATGTTAAGAGCTTTTTCCCAAATTTACGAATTGGGTACCGAATAAGATCAAAATGGTGTCAATCTGTAGATGCATTGTGGGTCCTTAATTATAGGTCAAATATCTGTTTCATGGTTTTGAATATATTATTCCTTTAATATTCCCGGAAGATTTTTTTTTTTCATAAATGCCATAAATTCCTAGTTCACGGCTTCAGTTTGTGCACTAGCAGTCATTTGCAGAATAGGCATGGTCGCAGTATTCTTAAAATGTCTTAGATATGTATCTTGCTCCACAAGATCTCCTAGTTTTGATTTTAAAATGAGTGAGAAAGTTCTATAACATATAAAACATGTGCATTATATGGCGTATTCAACGCCGTTAATGAATTGACATCGGCAGTCATGGGTTCGATCACCATGTGATTTCTGTCATTTTCTCTTAAATAACGTGTTTGGCTCTATTGGGTGGATATATAAGGACAATATTGGTGTCAGTCATTATTACATATGTGATAGAACTGGTTAAATACATCCCAAATATAATTTTAACACAAAGATCATTGCTACCGGAGATGTGTAACATTAAGCACGTGAAGAAACGGGAAGTGACGCCAAACATGACAAACACGAGTTATCCTTCTATATAACTGACTGAAGTAACGAGCGATAACAGACAAACGATCGAATATCATTTCACTGATAATTCCGTTGAAGTTGAAAAGTTATTATATGGGACTGTGAGAGGGTATCTCACAATTCAAAACTAGAATTAGCTGTCACTAGATAAGGGAAAACGAGAAAAATAGAAAATCCCGTGCATTCCCCCGTTTTTATTCATTCTGTTCTTAATAAAAACATGGTAATGCACGGACTTTTTTTAATTTGTTCGTTATCTTTTATCTACTGACAGCCAATTCTATTTTTTAATTGTCAGATATCCTCTCACCGTCTCATATAATAACTTTTCATCTTCAACTGAATTATCAGTGAAATGAAATTCGATCGTTACTTCAGTCAGTTATATAGAAGGACAACTCGTGTTTGTCATGTTTGGCGTCACTTCCCGTTTCTTCACGTGCTTGTTACACATCTCCCGTAGCAATGATCTCTGTGTTAAAATTATATTTGGGATGTATGTAACCAGTTCTATCACATATTTTATAATGACTGACACCAATATTGTCCTTTAACCAATTATCTACTGCCCGAGATCATTATCACTAACCAGTAAATTGTGCGTTCCGTGGTTAATAATAAGTAAACGACTATAGTCCAAACCTTCCCTGAGTTGTTTATTGTTGATATTGATATTAATATTTTTATTTCTATTTTGAACAGGAAATTACGATGTCCACGAAATTTAATCCACGTTAATTTATTTCTTGTTTATACCATCCGAGCTTTTATATCATTATTAAAAGAGGTTTTATTAGTGAATGATATTGGTTTTCCTGATGACGTCACTGTTAATGATGACGGGAAATATATGTTAACAGAAGGATCGGTACGTATTTTGCAAATGTTTGTTTATTGAAATAGATTGTTCTTTCATGGGCATTTACATTAATTATGTTTGGCCTCCTTAGAGATAATTAGTGGCTGATCATCATTAAGTAAGTAATTATTGTCTTTTATGTGTATATAATATCTCATCATATCTATCAGTGCTTGATAAAGACTAGAAAAGCCCAGACGAAACGTCGCTGAGTAATGAACAATTGTATTCCCATGTATGTCAAGTTAGTTACTCTTAAATAATAATTTTATTAAAGCACCCCGGCATTGGCAAAACATGTTCACCCGCTGGGTAAATATATTAAGCCCAAAATATATTTCAAATTCTCTTATTGTAATCCATAACAATAAATTTATGGCTGTAATAAACAATTCCATTTTAAAAGTTGACCAATGACATTATAACACGAAAACTACAGACAATCCAGAATGTCAAAATAAAAGTCAATGTCCTTTACATTGGCACAACAGAATATAATCTCGTTTCACTAAAATATAGCCCATTTAATTGTCCGTTTGTTTTGATGAATCGGTATTACCATATATTTTCAGCACTGGGGATGTAAGATGTTTTTTACCTTTTTAAATTACATTATCCTAACCAGTATATTGTGGATATTTGTGGAGGGGCTGTATCTACAATTATTACTTACACTGACAGTGAGAGCTAAGAAAATCAAACTGTGGTGGTATGTTGTATTTGGTTGGGGTAAGTTTCGATTGTCATTTATACTGATAACCAGTCTGAACCTTATTGTGTCAACCAATCACAAAATGTTGAATATGATATCGGTAATAATCACGGACCGTATATATGGTTCTTTGATAGATACCCGTTTCGCTGCTATCACTATAGTGAGACAGAAAACTGTAACACTCGTTCAAATCTGTATAAAATTTGCATAGGTGTCCAATTAAGAAAAGCACGTTAGCCACAGCAATTTTGAAAAAGGTCGTCGTTTTCAAAGATGACTGAAATTTTAGGCTTTTCATTCACATTTTCCTGTGGAAGTATAATGGCGTCGCTCATGCCCGGACGTCTGACCATCTTTGATTGTCGACTGACTAAATGACTGTTATCAAAGAGTAGGCCCAAAGGAGTATTTGTGCCAATTCTGATACTTGCACCCACATTTGATAGATTTCCCTGATAGCACCACTAGAACAAACGCTAGTATTTATCGTTTTGCAGTGATTTTAGTTGCTATGTAGAATTTCCCAAAAACCACAAAGGTGTTATGTGAGCACGCAATAGTTTGTTTTAATCCCAATCAAAGTAGGACGTTAAACCCCATTTCATTTCATTTCATTTCCAATCAATTTATATCTACATTTTTGTTTTGTGGTGTTTTGATCTGTTGTCGGATCACTTCTAACGTGGGTAACCTTGAGGATGAATGTACATTTATGTCATGGCAGGTTAAAAACATTACAGGATAATGTATAGAGAAAACAATGTCATTAATAACTCTTAAAATTATTTTTAACTGTAGTGTTGTTTTTTTAATTTTTAATTTTAGGTGCACCTGTTGTTTTTGTCATACCTTGGGGTGTTACCAGATATTTCTTAGATGATTCATAGTAAGTCCAAAATGTCATTTTATAACTTAAAAGGATTTGGAAATTTTAGAAATCAACAAATTCTTAAGATATTTTTTTTATTACGAATGCAACATAACTTTTATCGATTTTCTATTGAAACAGAATCAAGCTTTGGAATTTGTTTTGAATTTGTTTTAAAAAAACAATACTATTCTATTAACAAAAACAACCATTATTGTATTTTTAGTTGTTGGAATGTATCGTATTATCGCCCCGAATTATTTTGGATTATAAATGGTCCGATTGTAATATCTGTTATAGTAAGTACTATTTTTTTTAAATACAAATACACTATTATTTTTGTGGGCATGATAATCAGATACTATTGTCATGGGTACGATGTGGCATGCTTAGCTTACGCTGGGTATTTTTGTAACTTTCGTCGACAAACTCCGCAATCTTATACAATCAGTTAAAAATCTGAGACCTTTTGATGAACAAATAGCAATGCTAAAACGATACACCATTTATGCGTCAAGTTCATGTGCTGTATATGAAAACCCTAACCAAAAATTGAAGTTAAATATTATCGAGGACCTAATAAACCGTCTCAAATATATTTTAGTGAATCAAACTGGTTAATTATGCACACAGTTTTTAAATGTAAATATTATATTCTTATCCAAGCGTGTTTTGAAATAAATAATGGTTCCTATATTAATATTATATAATCCGGGCCATAGGTACGCACCGGAAGTTAATCATCCGCGTGCGCTTGATTCTACGTTTATTCTTGACAAAGCTATTAATTTTTACTAGTTCATTATTATCTCGCCAAAATCCTGATTTTGAATGCGGTTGATGAATTCTCTTATTTTTCAGATTACTTTCTTAATATTTGTCAACATTTTACGACTCTTATTCACTAAATTAACAGCTGCAAATTGTTCAAGTAGTCGCCGATATAGATACAGGTAAGTTTTATAATAATAAAAGATAGAAATAAGAGAGAGAAACAACATCTTTGTAGTCGAATCTCCGTTAAACTTAGTTAAAATCGCCAAAGATGTAAACAAACTGGACTCGGATGAAAATCAAAAGGCTATAACAGAAGAAAAAAAAAACTTAATTCAATAAAAATTCCTTTATATCTTTCTTGGTATCATAGGATATCAGAAAATGTACAGCCTACCTGGGTGTGAGGTGCAGAAACCTAGCTTGGGGCCCCGATCGTGAAATATTTGATTGTACACTGTAACACAAAAATCCGTGAAAAAAACGTAAAAAAATTCCGGAAACAAAAATTACAAGGAAAATTTGTTTTTCCTGTAATTTACAGAAATTCCTTCAATTAACATAAATTTCATTTTCAAATACAAAAATAAAATCCTGGTAATTTTTGTTTCCTGAGCATGAAAGTGATAAAAATTTCATTGAATTAACCATTGTCTTTATACGCGTGTGTGAAATAGCTTTATTTAACGTCCGCTTTCACCGAAGTGATATCGCTAATATAAGAATACGGAATATCCTAATCAGGAGACGAGCGGAAGGTATCACAAACCGCTACTCGTCAGTTATCGGACCGGTTAGAGGCTTTCAGATGTAAGCTTGCAGCTATGTAAACTGTCCCATACAGGCAAAGTGGCTTACACTGGCCAATTGGTTATACTATCCGATTTAAGCGTGCTTGAAATACCAGATAATACAACCTATACACACGCAGACAAGTCTTATTTTTATTAGTAAACCCACGAGGCTGAGAAGGCGCCCCTATCTTCAAGCCACATACGCTCACACCATCGAAACCACAGCCGCAAGCCAGAGGTCGAAGCGCGGCACTCTAGACCACTAGGCCAGCCAACCCCCCTTACACACGGAGCGTTAAAACATATTTGTATACATTCATGAATATACTTACAATCTGATTAACGTATGATGAATAACAATACACTGTATAGCATGACATGTGATATACCAAAATTTACAAAATATGATTCTTCATAATTAATAAATTGAAATGAATACTATAACCTGATAATTATTATGAATGCTTACATATGTATACGATTACTTATCGTTGCATTTGCAAACAGAAATAATCCATAAATTTCTGGTCATTCCACCTTTTATCCTGTAAAATAACAGAATTAAGTCCATTACGGAATGGAATAAACATTTTATCTCTACATTTTAAGGAAATTCCTGGTCATTCCACCGTTTATTCCGTAAAATAACAAAATTATAGAAGGGAATAAAAAAAAATTATCAATACATTTCATGGAAATTTCCTGTTTAATACTGAATATTCCATACAGATATATAAAACACGTAATTTGAAGAAATATTTCACACTTTTAACACAATTTATCCAAAAAATGACATCGATTAACAGAAAATTGTTAATCTACGGAATTTGGCCACACAAAAAAAAAATGATATTTTTTACAGTGTATATGGCATGAAGAAATTGGCATAATCCGTTGTGTGTGCTCTATGGATAAATAAAATATGTTAGTTGTGTAAGTTTGTACTACTAAATGACCAATGCATCTAGCTTTTATTGTTGTTGTTTCAGACGATTAGCCAAATCTACATTAATCTTAATACCATTGTTCGCTGTTTATTATATGGGATTTATATGGTTACCAGATGATTTGGATCTATTGGCTCAACTTATACGAATTTATATAGAAATGCTGTTTAATTCGTTTCAGGTAAGAATAGATCAATACACATTTGGATTAAAGTATATTGTGAATAGCTGTATTAAACTTTCATCACACCATGTGTGTGGATGGTGAACATTGATATTACACGTTTCTTTGAATAGTTTGATTACATATACACAAACGTATACAACTATACAATATAGTGTGCCCAGTCTTGCGGAAGGTACAGAAATTTGCGACACATTATAAACGGACACATTATTGCTCCTAGAAAATTACCCCTCGACAACTGATGTTTTTTGCTTCGAGCAAATCCATACAGTTATGGACAAGCTTGAAATCGACACCACACCACTTGTCTCAATGCCAGATCTTATCATCCATTCAAAGTTCACGCGTTAGACCACCCAACCAACCAACCCCGTAACCGCCATTTACAATAAGAATGCTTGTCGAAGATGGCATTACACTTTGTACGAATTCCTGCCAGCTATAAAGAATCTGGTAGCAGAGCAAAACCACCAACAACAGAACCAACAAAATCTTTGTAATTTCTTAATTTGTATTAAATTACTCATTCATACAAATACAGACCTACTTTTGTTGTTTACAGGGGATGCTTGTGGCCTTGTTGTTTTGTTTCTTTAATTCAGAGGTACGTTGGTTTCACCTTTTGTAGTAATTTATATACCTAATTTACGGTCGACAAAGGTCGATTTGAAGATGTCATGAACGTTCAACAATTGTATCTGTTATGTTGTCCAAATATTGGAAACTACTACGATTGATAAATGTTAATATCTTAGCGATAACTGGGTTGATTTGCCTCAAATTTTGCGTATAATCTAATCTGGAATCCTTAATGTAACAATATTGTGTTAAAGGCATGCCACTTAGTTCATTACGTTAATATAAATCTGTCGTGATATATACCCCCGGTGTTGCGTATGGATATGTACATGAATAGCGTTATCTCCCGATTAAATAAGGGATTGTTATTCAATATACCTATGTATCTCACTTAGTCAGGAGGTCATACATATATTGCCGAACATTATTATGATTGGTTTGGTAGTATGCAGAATTCTTTATTTACTACTGGATGGAGACATTTCCCACAATTTATTTCGTGAACACGTTATCTTTATCTGTCTATAAGAAAAATAACGTGAATTATGTATTAATATTATACACAATTCACGTTATTTTTCTTATAGACAGATAAAGATAACGTGTGTATAGGGGGTACCGAGAACAAATTGCAACATAATTTGTTAAAAACTTGTTAAAAGTCTTTTGATTAATTAACATGAATCCAAAACGAAGTATAGATAAGTACGGTGGGGCTTGTGAGACGAATTTAAAGTAACCGTATTTAATAAATCAGTTTCATTTGTGTTTTGTTTTTAAGGTTCAGAATGAAATAAAGAAAAATTGGTACAGACGTGTGCTAAATAGGGGAGGCAGTTTCAACTATAAATCCTCCAAAACTAGACACAGTTCCCGGTCATTTAATTCTGAAACGGATGCTGGATATTATTCTAAAAAAGAACAGAAAACAGAATCTATTATGAACGGACATTTAAGTGATATACGTGAAGAATCCGTACCTTTAAATTTAAACCTAAAAATGGCGGGAGGCGGTTCGCAGGACCATAATGACAATATACAAGAAAGTTACGACAACCATAATAGTGTTCCCTCGTATCTTGAAAATGGCCAAGATGAAAATCCCTCCAGTAATGAACCGGAGGAAGAAAAACATGGCGACTCGGTTAGTTACTGTAATGGCAGCATAAAAGTTCAGTTAAATTTGGAAAATCATGTATTTAATCAAGATGAAAATTCATCTGAACAATTACCGGAGGAGCAGAAACATGACGATTCAGTTACGCACTGTAATGGCAGCAATAATGTTCATAATGGCAGTAGTAAAGCTGGTGACGATCACTAAGATGCTCTAAGATCACAATGTTCGTGGAGCTTTTTTTGTGCCTTCGTTGTAATAATATAATTTGTGTGTGTGTGTTTTTGCATGTGACAACGCAGTGCCTTGGCGTTTCGATGTGCATAATACATTGTACTGTTTTTAGTATTAGAACGCCAAGCGTTACGTTCGTATATAGAGATTAAATTTACCCCTGGAGTATTCATTCTTTTAGTGATAGTTGAGATTATGTTTCACATAGAACTTTAGAGTGGTGACATTTTTGAAGGACATTACAAGATGGCGAAATCAGACAGAACAATAAACACAATCAAACACGGATATTGTATGTGAGTGAGTGAAACGATGAAAGTTGTGTAAGTAGTTAACTGACAGTTCTATAAGTATATGCCCTTTAAATCTGAAAATCATACATGATCAGTGACCTGGGTATCTGAATTAGTACTGTTGAGTACTGTTGATAATGGTAATGATCTAGATTAGCACTGCTGTGCAGTACATATAGTAACTTACTTTACTAATTTAACTCAAGTTAGTACTATCTTAGATATTTTAACTAAGGGGGTAGTCCGAGTAGAATCGCCTTGTTTTGTTTTGTTTAAGGTTTGAACGATGGTAACTATAATGGGGGTCACTAATGATTGAATAATGTTACTATTGTGAATTTTTAGTACGTGTACAGAGTTTGTAGTCCGGTGTTATAAGGCCATGTCTAAAGAAAACACGTCTGTATCTTATTTTCTTTCTGGTCAGATTTGAAATCCAAACTCGGATGCTTTAATATGAATATAATAAATAACCCTGAACTCCTCTTTAATGCACAATAAGATACGTCGATTTGCATAATAGCATGAGTAAGTTTTTGCTCTTACTACCCCCCCCCCCCTCCCCCAAAACTCCCAACCCCTTACCCTCCCGATCAATATTAGGATGTAATACTGCCAATCTTAACGCTGGAACTTACCTCTGTATCGGAACTTAAACTAATCATTAACAGGATGGTGTTCATAGAAATAGATATAAGAACCAAAATATTACATCCCGCCCAAAATGTCTTTAAGCTACAGGCGTGTTCAAAATAGTGTGGTTATAACCATGTATGTGTATTTGAGATTAAAAAACCCAAATATTTATACTCATCTATTTAATACATTTGTCTTCGTGGGGAAAAAAATTCGCATGATATTTGTTAGTATTATTAGTGTTTAGTACTCAGTCCTTAATCGTTATTACTTTTTTAAAATAATATAGCTTCCCCTGCTACTGATGACAGGGTAAATCTTATGATACGCCTGCATTATAAGTTAGATGTATGTTTAATCTCAGCTTTATCACTCAATAATACATTCTACAATAGATATCGCTTGTGTGATAAACTTCATAATCTACTGTGATATCTCCTTAGGGGATATCGCTTTACATGAATTTGATTGGTCAATCAAAAAGGAACTACTTTTTTTATTTTCCTCACTCGTTGATAAATGCAGAGTTTTTTTTTATTTTATCGACTTGTGTTGATATGTTTTGATATCAAAAACGACGAGTAGGAGATTCTCTATTTATCCATGTCATCCAGTAGATTTTTTAGTCTTGTGTCTAAGACTACTTACAAAATAATGTTTGTTAACTATCTGAACTTCTTAAATGAGAAATGGAATCGACTGTCCTGTCAAGAGCAAACACACCCTATTTCGTGCACGACACTCATCAAGTTAGCTTTATAATTATAATATTATAACCACGCGGCAAAAATACGAGTTTGCTTAGAAGTTGTATATTTAAACGGTGATAAATGACACTACTGGTGTATAAACAATCCACCCTTCATTGTATATATTTACATTGAGTATTTTTACATCGTATATATTTTACATTGTCTTATTTTTTGTAAATGTATTTTGTACATTATTGTTTTTATGAAATAAATTTTGCCATAAATGTTTAAATTTTCAAAATAATTATATTTTATTTAAAAACAAATTACATTATTTTTCGCTAAATGTGTTAATATCTTCCGTCCAGATCAGGAAATAAAATGAAATGGGGCTTAACGTCTTCTTTTTCTGCACCAACCGATACGCACAAAATTTTGCACGGACCACGGGGCGAAACGCTCTATTCTTATGCTGTGTTTGATTAAACGAATACCCTTGCAAAGCCCTGCACCAATGATAAGGGCAAACCAAGCTGGAAAATTCCGAGGAACTTTCTCAGCTAACACGGGGATCAAACCCAGGGCCCCCTAATTAGTAAACCAGTACAATACTCACGGTATGATTATTATTGGAGTTTAACGTCCTACTTTTTTGCACCGACAGGGATGATATAGACGGGCATACGCATACAGTGTGCTATACAGGGAAATTTTGCCCGGATAGCGGCAATACGGCCTACACTTAACTCGAATTCCAACAGCCAAGGGATCATTTATTTGCACGCCAATGTGTTCACGGGGCCTGGGGTTTTCGTCCCATCCGAACGACTAGACAGCTGTCCTTACGCCATGCCGTGTGCTGTGAGGAAAGTTTTGTCAAGAAAGCTGCACAACGGCCTACTGTCATTTTAAATTCCAATTGGTAAGGGTTCTTTTACGTGCGCGCCAATGTGTACGCGTGACCTCGGTTTTCCGTCGTATCCGTACGACTTGACACTTTCCTTGCCATCCCCACCTCCAGTCCTGCACCGATGACTAGAAAATACTAAGGAACTAATTTCATACACGTACATTCATACACGTTTCATTTCATTCCTATTTTAGTTTCTCACTTTATGTACCATAGTAGTAGACAGTCATGGCGTGTGTTATTAATACTTCGTTTCGTTTCATTTAGTTGATGATTAAATTCTCACTTTTTATCATACCACGCACATGTAGCAGTAGACAACCTTAACGAATATTATTAACACTTCGTTGCTTGATCTTGTATTAATGACAGAAGGCGGTCCTCCAATAAATCAGCAGGTAACGTCAAAAAGTCAATGATGAAGAAAACCTTCGCCGAAGATTTATTCCTGTCTCCTTGAGTACGGAAGCGACCATATTAGTACAGTGTCATAATTTGTTGACAACGATGTTGTTCATCCCAAAAATAATTATGGGACAGTAAAAGGGTCTTTTTGAAACTGAATACTTTACATGTAGAAACAATCTCAATACGCTGTCATAAAAACTCTTTAAAGTTTATTAGGGGCTAAAGCCCACTGAAATATTTCTCTCGAATGCTAACTAATCCGGCCTGTCCTCAACAACCCGGGATCCCGCGAGAACAGAGTCGGTGAACCCCGTCTGGCTCTAACACTGCTATTAAAGGGAGGTAAATAATAAGAGTGTAGACCACAGAAAGTTCTGGTAGTAGTTTAATACTACCAATAATTACTTTCTTAACACTATCCCATTTTTATTCAGTTTCACGAAATGTGTCCATAGTTTGGTTATGGATAGATCGAGAGCTCGGACATGAATTACCTAATTCCAGTATATAGTATAGGTGGATCTTTGTTACGAAATCCACAAATAACAGGAAAAGGTACACTTTAAATATCTCATGTATTTTAACGGGAACGTATACATTGCATTATGTTTACAACAGTACAGGATCTGTAAGACGATTGGTAGAATTCTTACTCTATAAATTAATAATAGCATTATATTGTATCTTTAACTAATTATTGGATTCGCACATTCTATAGAAGTGATCTCACGCACTGAAATGATGAGTGACGGATAGACACATAAAAAGAGTTATAAAACCAAAACATAGCTGGTTCTATCTATCAAAAAATATATCACCTGATCACCTTGTGATCGTAAAATTACGATTGCATCATGTGGCTTAAATAACAAATCATCATAATTAATTATGTAATATTTGACCAATTAGATAATTGAAACTCGACCGAAGGCTAGAAAACTATTATCTCTAGGCATTCGACAGACAACCATGTAGGTCTTGGAGAGCACAGACCGTTGAGGCTCAAAAGATGCCACTGGTTTGTTTGTCTCCAATACCACATTATTTTAGGAAAATTGAACCAAAATGCAAAATCTAATGTAATAATAGTTGGTTCCTCTTGTGATCGGCCATAGTTTGGTTCCTTGGTTTGAGTGCAGAAAGGTAATACAATCTGATGTGAAGTTAAAGTTTGTTAATTTCCTTGAAGATCTATCTATTTAGAAATAATTCTATTTTCTCCCTGTTCACCCTTTGTGCATACCCATTGCTTGCTTTGTTAGTTGCCGAGATTTTGAATGCAGATTTTCTTGCATATTTAGTTTCTACTCATGATTTTAATGAGAATGCAAATGTAAGCTCGTATGATATTTAAAACACTTCATCAAAATTGACGCCATTTGAGACTTTCTTTATATGAAAACTATGACATATCTGGCTTTGTGGGCGAAAAGAATAGAATATTATTGGCCAGGAATATCTCGTGCTTAACTTTTTTGTGAAGAGAGAGACACAACGGTTGTAAGATTGCAACTGTGAAAATTGGAGTTGTCTCCCCTATATTGTGACTATACCGTGAAACCTGTATACATTGACTTATTTTACTCCTTCATTTTATAGTTGTTGTAAAAAAGAATCAGTTATATGCCAAATAATTAGGTAATATTAACTAACTTAAAATAAATTATTTGAAACGTGTAATTTTATCGAGCTATTGTCTAAATCTTATTCTCGTATTTACGTAAAGAATAATGGTTGTCAAAATTTAAAATCAAATGTATTAATTGTTGGTATGTATTCTATAAGTAAAGGGAAATAGTAAATCAGAATGTGAACGTTGGGTAAACCATGTACCTTATGTATTATAAGGTCCATGGGTAAACTACTTCATATAGTTTTGGAGTCTGGTCGGTATTTATAAGAACACATGAATGAACCTGGTCTTCCATTTTTCAAAAGATAGAAAATTATTCAACGGCTTATTCCAATCTAAAATGTACTTAAATTACTTTTTTGAATTTTCATATATTGAATGTCACTAGATAAGAGAACACGATGAAATTAGAAATAGTCCTTATATTCCCTTGTGTTTATTCATTCTATACTTAATAAAAACATGGTAATGCCCGGAATTTTTCTATTTATTTTTTTTCGTGTTCTCTTATCTAGTGACAGTCAATTCTTTTTATGAATTGTCAGATATGCTATCACAGTCTCACACAACAAATTTTGGTCTTCGAAAGGATTATGAGTGAGCAGAAATTCGCCCGTGTATCTGTTATCACTCTTCACTTCAGTCAGTTATATAGAGGGATAACTCGTGTTTTCTTTTTGCGTTCGTCACTTTCGATTGTTGAAACCTTTATTACTCATCTATCGTGGCAATGATCTCTGTGTTAAAATTATATTTGGAACGAGTTTAAACAGCTCTATCACATATGTGATAATGACTGACACCAATATTGTCCTTTAACATTTTCCTGCCAATTGATTTTGTTTTTCTTTATTATACAAATATTAAAGAATTTGGGACAAAAAGTTCAAACTTGACACAGCTTGAGACTATAACATACATATTTACTATTGCTACACGTGGAATACGAATAAGGTTGGGGAGATGGTGGCTAAGTGAGTAAGACGTTGGCTCGCTAGCCTGAAGGTTGCGAGTTCGATCCCGGTGTTGGCCGAGTAAGTTCATCCAGATTTTCCGGTGTGGTTCTCTAAATTCTAATCAATTATGTTCAGTGAATAACGCGAACAGTCCAAATTGAACGACAGTCATTTGCGCCTGCTTTTGTCACTCTTACACTTTTTTGGTCGTTTGTGAATCAGCCATTTTTAATTACTTCCGGGTTGTCTTCTGGGATATGGTTTCTTTGGTCATTACAAATAACACTCGAGTATGTTAATAGAATACACGAGTCGTGTAGTGAATTAAAATGTGCATTGTGTCTTAAATATTGGCAAAAAGGGTCACATATTCTCATGGTAAGATAATAGCATCAATATTGATTGAAATGGCGTGTTTCCCTTTGTCAGTGGTGCAGGACGGAGGATGGAACGAAAACCCGAGGTCTCGTGTAGGCCTTACAGTACACTGCATGGCTTATGCCCGTTTTCATTAGCACAGTCGGAGCACAACAGTAGGACGTTAAACCCCATTTTATTTCATTTTCACCACATATCAGACCATGGTTCTTCCAACTATGCACACTTTCCATGTCAGCCGTCGTGAATTGGCAACACGGCTCAAACATTATCAGCAGTTATTCTCGGTTCACACCAGAATCCAAAATATGTTTTTCTTACAGAAGTTCATTTCCTAACTTCCAGGATTTTATCGACATAACTCCTGATTTAATGGTATTAGTGTTCAGACAGAATGTCACTGTTTCGGTCAACATTTTTATAGTTTACTCATAAAAGTAGAAATTAACATGTTACTCGTCAGGAAACATTTGGAAGACGTTTATAGCGAAGAGGATTTTGTTAATACAGAAGACATAATTGTCTGCTTGAAATGACTCATAAATAATTTCATAAATCAATTGAGACTATCTGTTGTGGGTACCATAAATGGCAAATGGCAATATAGCGTTTACATAAAGGATCCTCATCAATTTGTTCTTCTTGGGTCTCTTCGTTCTCTTGAAGATTGGTTAAAATCAACCGAATAACGGAAAGTGGACGATCGATGCATTGAATCATTCTCGATTAGCCCAGCCGTCTATAGCACTATAGATAAGCTCACTCTATGACCCATTCTTTCAATTATTTGGATGACCTGACCAATACGAACCCTTACATTTCAGTCAATTTGATAAATAGACAAGAGAACAATGACAAACGATTTTACGTATGTCACTATTTGTATTGTAGACCATTTGAACCGATCGTCTGTGTCTGAATGATTTGTATTCTATAACACATGTATTTTGTTTTAAATTATACATAGCCGTTATAAATGCTGTGATTTATTTTATCTAAATAGCTCAGAACGTTTAGTCTTTAATTTGATACTTTGATTTTGTGGTCAT